ATGGCAACATATGTACAAATGCGCTTGACACAATGGATGAATTTTAATATTTATTATTTTAATCAGTCAAAAGCTATGCAAGAGAACACTTACATGAACAAAATGGCAAACGGAAGTGATCCAGTCCAGCTCACCCTTGAAAATAGTCAAGGACAGCACAGGCCTGAAGGTTGAACTTCAAGCCTGCCACTTCCTATTCTGTCCCTGTTTGCCATTGTTTAGAACTCATTAAGGTGGATACTTCTAACAAAGCCTACGGAATTGCCTAGCTGGAAAGGTACCTTTTCTAACAAGTTCCAGGTTTTCTAGGCACTGTGATACATGTGCAGAGTGTGGTCTAGCACATTCTTCCTGCACAGGTGACCTTCCTCCTGACACCTCACCTGCATTGATTCCTTCATCGCTCGCCGAGAGACACGGTCTGTTACAGGAAGCTGGCCTTCTCAGAAGCCACGGACAAAAATGTGCTTCATGCCCAGGCCCCGTTTACATGTGTGTCTCTGGATGGCAGTGAAAAGATGTGGCATGGCCCAGAAACGGGTTCTTTTAGACCCAGGGCACAGGAAGACTATGCCAAGTAACACAGGGCAATGTGTATCTGGTTATAGGACAACCTAACTTCCCTTTTAAGTACTTTTTTTCTCTCTTAATAGACAGATTTTTTTTTCACCAACAGATCAGGACCAAAGGATTAGAGCTAAAATAATGGCCTGTTGTCCACTGAAAAACCTAAGTCTCATAGCACAAGGGTGACAAGTTGCTTAGAGTAACTTTGAAGTAGGAGAGTGGCAATTAAAAAAAAATTTTGTCTCTACTGTGCCTTGATTTGTACAATGTATAGAATAGACATGTGTTAAAACAGATTATAGCCCCAAATAAGATTATCAGGGGAGGAATTTCTAAGGTTACCCATCATTTTCCTAATATGACACCCCATGCCATTTCTCTTCTGTTCGCTCTGCCTCTTGAACATCTGTGAAGGTCAGGCTGGTTCTTTGTGCAATTATCTGTACCCTATGGTGGTTTAATTTCCCAGGGGCTGCAGTTAAGTCTGCTGTTTGACTACCATAAGGATTAGCTCTTACTATGTAGAAAGAGGATTTCACCATGGAATGGTTTTGTCTCTGGACCTTTCCAAACTCACAAACCAATCCATGCATACTTCCTACCTCTACTTCCGACCGCTGAGTAGCTACAGCAATAGCCACTGTTTTAGGAGGAGGTGTATGGAAAGGGGGAAAAATCCCTTCGATAGATTATTTCCCCGCTGCAGGAAAAAGATAAAGTCAGTTGATAACACAAAGGGCTATTCTTGAGAACCTCACTCCTTCCTCCTTGATGTAATGCTACAGGCCTTTCAGGGTCTCCGTCAGCACAGAGCTGCCTTAGCTTCATCTGCATTTAGTTTCTCAAAAGAAGACCTTAACTCCCAAACGTGTAAACAGATTATAGTGAACCCTCGTTTATCGCGGTTGTTCTAGACCCTACTGTGATAAATGAAATTCCGCGAAGTAGGATTCCTTATTTGTAAATCAAATATTTTCATAGTTAGAGCATAGAGGACATGAAAAAACACCC